CACACACACACACACACACACACACCAAAACTAATATCTCTGGAACTTAAACATACAGAACCTTAAAAATTAAGATACCAAAAGGAAAGTTTGTTAAGATCCAACATCTAAAATAATAAAAAACTTGAAAAGTGCTTTGTCCCATTTTTGAATGGTCACCATTGGCACATAATGCCACTAACATAACACATCATGCCACATCTAACACAACTAACATTTTTTTTAAATTTTCTTTTCTATGGCAGGACACCTCTAAACATCACATTCACAGGCGATGTCCTGAAAACATTGTTCAAACACTCATATTATAAAGCATAAAGGTACAGAGACCTCATGATGTTCTAATTTTTTGCACATATTTTTAACAAAGTGCGGTTGCACAGCCACTTCGATCAATAGATTGCTTTCTCAACAAAGCTTTAGTGATTCAAATGGAAAGGAAACACTGAGAACCTAATATTTACTGTTACACTTTTCACTGTATGTCTTTTTATAAGTAATTTAAATTATATTGAATATTATTTTAACTGTCCTCTAAAATATAGGTTAAATTTGTGCAGATCCTAACAGTCACTAGAACTGTCCGTCACATTCTGGTTTGAGTGGTGAATGCATGAGGTGATGGTGTTGTCAAGGACCTAATTAAATCCATCCTCTGTGACCCCAGGCCAAAAATAGTTGCCTAAAGATTATGTAACACTAAACTCATCTGTGCTAAAACCATAGAGATCTAAACACTAAACCGATTGTGATTTTGACTTGAAATGTGTGTAAAATTAGATCACAGAATGAATGAATACCACTATGAGACAAGTCTATTTAAAACTGGATTAGAAATCTCAAATAAATCTCTAAAAGGCTCTCTAATGCCGAGTTGATGTTCAGTCTTTTAAAAAAAAAAAATTTCAGATTTTTTTGCTTCTATATTTACTATTTAGTTTATAATTACTATTTTTTAGCTTTCATAACAGTAGCATGCTTGAATGAACAAAGCATACTGTCACAAACTGCTTTGTGACAAACAAAAAATGTAAAGGGGGTCATATGATGTTGCTAAAAGAACATTATGTGGTGTATTTGGTGTAATGAAATGTGTTTATGCAGTTTAAGGTTCAAAAACACATTATTCTATTCACATAGTCTACTCTACCAGGATCAGGAAACAGTCCTCCATAAAATGCACTGCACACATCTGAATATTTGGGTTGAACTGTTCTGGAACAGTGTTGTAAATACAACTTAACCACTGATTTGTAGTCGTGTCCTCTTTTGGAAGACCAAACAAAGTAGTTTCGCTTTCACAACGAAACACACAGCGTCACACACGGTGGGCTAGAGTGAGCGGCGGCCGGCGGATTGACGAAGGTTGCTTGCGGCATCCACATGTGACAACCCCCGGGCTGGACTCCGCTTCGTCCATGGTGAAAGCCGATCCGGCGATCCACAGCGCGAAGTTGATGTATTTCCTCAGCGACCAGCACCGATCAGCTCTAGGCATGACAAAGTGGATATCATCCTCTTTTGGAAGGCCAAACAAAGTA